TGCGAATTACAGCCAAACGGCTAAAACCACAGTAATATATCTATACATGTTCGATTCCCCAAACATTCAGCTTTTATATGCATCTATCGGATTCATTCTATCTATTATAGTTTTCGATAAAATCAATGAAATGTAAAAACACTGCTTTTTCGAGCATTTTTTAAACTTTGAACACGAATTACAGCCAAACGGCTAAAACCACAGTAATATATCGATACATGCTACATGATGTACTCATTCATATAGGAAATACTTAGGAAACCTCATATTAACACATTTATTTAATTGGGTCATTATTAATAATTTATTGATTTTTGCCATATTGGCGCTATAGTGTTTATCAATTGATCCACAAGAGGGAGTTTTGAAATTAACAAAATATTTCTTGTTTAAACAAAAAGTTGGTATCATCTACTACGCCTGCGTCGGTTCGTGGAAAGCGACTCTCAGTCGTAGTTCGTTCTTCAGAGCGTTGGCGTTCGCTTCGGTTTTATAACTTCAAAAATTATTGTGCAAATAGTTTAAATCCGATGAAAACAACAGAGCTTTGAGAAAACCATCATCGTATTAGACATTAGAATTAGCGGCAATTAAAGGTTAGTGATTAATCTGATTGTAAAAAAAAGTCGCATTGCATTGAAATTTTCCCAATTTGTTCGCTAATCCCTTACGTAGCTTGTGTTAAAATGTGCGTATTCCGTAATAACTCTTAATTGAGAAATTCTCGTTAATTAATTAAAAATTTGGACGCATCAAAAATGGCGGAGCGACGCGTTCCTCCCGCCAGTTTATTGTTGATACCAACGCATTTTTATTGCAACAAAAAAATGTCGTAGCAGGTGGTATGATCGTGGCGTCTATATGAGGTAGTTGTGCGCGACCCTTTCTTAAGTCAACATCTTTCCAATTGGAATTAAGGAAATTTCGGGGTTTTCTTATTAGTTTTCAGTGGAAATTGAAAAGCTGCTTTTGTGAACCGTAACTAGCGACGACGATGCCCATCAATCGTGAGCAATTTAAATCTTTATTTCTTCCATGTTTCTACAGCTTTTCTTTGCAACTTCATAAATTACAGTCAATTAGTTCAGTTATTTTTAACTATCTCTATGATTTGGTGTGTCTGCTCAAAAGAATAATCAAGGTTCTAAAATATACTAATCGGTTTATAAGTAATTTAAAATTCTATTTGATGATCATCATTTGATTTGCTTCATCAGTTAACATTTCTTATTGGTGGTAAATTTAATAATAATATTTCGTATTATATTGTTTTCTCATGGCTTCCTATGAAATTACACAAAATTATTTAATAATGTTAATAATAAAATGCATTATGATTTATAAATCTAATGCATTTTCTATTTTTTATCGGAATATGTTTATAATTTATTCGCAGCTGCAAATTTTATATCTTTTTTTGTTTGTGCAGGGGGTTTTATTTTTCTAGAATTCTGTTTTTTTTAATTTATAAATCTAATGTATTTTCTATTTCTTATCAGAATACGTTTATAATTTATTCGCAGCTGCAAGTTTTATCTCTTTTTTGTTTGTGCAG